GTGTTGGTAAGATGTTGGCTTTCCTTCATTAATCGTATCTCTTGAGCTTGCAGAGAAACCACGGCTGAGACCAGATAGTGAGCGGGACTGGGCCAAGCGCGATTCGGATCGGAATTCGAACAAAGATTCGGATCGGAATTCAAACAAAGATTCAAATCAGAACTCGAATAAGAATTCCAATGGGAATTCGAATGGCGCCGCAAGGGGAGGCTCGAGGGATGCTCAAGACTCTGGTTCGAGAATCAACCAGGGAATGAGGGCCGGCGACGGTCGTTTCCGAGTCCCGGGCTGGGCTGTAGGTCAGAGCATCGGCCAACTGTCACCTACGGCAGCGCGAGCCGCGGGACGAGTTGCGAGGACTCCTCCGCAAAGACCGCCTCGGAACTCGCAAGGTGGATCTGGCGTGGACCAATTACCACCAATCGGACCGGATCTGATGGCGCCGCTGCCAGGAGGATCGGATTCACAAGCACCGTCACGTAATGGTCAGAATCCCCAATCTCCTACAAGGGAAATCCCGGATTCGCAATCACCGTCTCGCAACGCACCAAATCTGCAAACCCCAACGAGGGAAGCCCCGAACTCGCACTCACAGCCACGAGAGGCACCGAGTCCACAATCGCCGTCACGAGATCAAACGAATTCACAATCACCGAGCCGAAATGGGCCCAATTCTCAAGCTCCATCAAAAGAGGCCCCGAGTTCGCGATCCACGCCTCAGAGAGGAACCAATTCTCAGTCATCGCCTCCGAAGGGACCGAATTCTCAATCGTCGTCTCCCCGGGGATCGGATTCGCCTCCATCGCCGCCAAAAGCACCGAATTCGCCGTCTTCGCCGCAGAGGACACCCCACTCCCAGTCGTCGCCATCCCGGGGTTCGGATTCGCAATCATCGCCCTCGAGAGCATCCAACCCACAGTCATCCTCACCAAAACGCTCAAATTCTCAACCATCTCCACCGCGATCGTCCAATTCCAAGCCGTCAGTTCCAAGATCGCCGAACTCAAGATCGCCGAATTCACGGCCGTCGCAGCCGAGAACATCGAATTCGAGATCATCGGCGCCAAAGGCGCCCAAGCCCCCTCGAGCTCCTAGACCTCCGAGATCGGCGAGACCTCCGCGAGCTCCGCGAGCTCCTCGTGCGCCTCGAGCGCCTCGAGCGCCTCATATGCGAGGCTGACGGATGCCATATGCAGATGTCAAGATGGGAATCGATCTGGCCGAAAAAAATTTGCTTCGGTCTTGTTCGCCCTGAACGGCATGGACCGATGAGCGCGAATCTGCGGCTCTTTCGCTCTCGTCCGGCAATCTGTCCGGTGCTTGCCTCGCTATCGAAAATTTCGGATGACGCGGCTTTTTCCGAGGGGATTTCTAGCGTCAGAAAGAGCGATATGACTCTAGGAGTCCACATTCTCGGGTGTCGATCCTCATCCCGGCAGCGAGAAAGTTCTGCCAAGCAGAATGTTACCATGAACATAATCAGGATCTCTCCGGCACGAATCAGATTTGCATTTAAGATCTAGACCCGGACCTTCCGGGGAATGCTCCGGAAATATGATGTCGCCGTTCATGAGGAGTATGAATAAAGACTTTCGAATCGATCTAGAAGGCGTCCTGATCCAAGACTACAACATGAGGGTCAGTGCCAGGTTTTCCTCCGCTGCAATCGGCTCAGCGATTCCTCTCGTAACATACTCGGAATATACAGTGATAGTACGCCAGTTTCGGTGACTCATGGACGGCGTCGGAGTTGATCTGCCATATCAGGCCCTCGTGCGAGTCGTCGTACCGCGGATGTTAGCGACGCTCCCCTCGTGAGCTTTTTCCGAGGCTGGAAAATGCGGCTACTTATGCGAGCTTGATACGTGCATCCTTCATTTCCCGTGGACGACCGATTCCTTCCGCGTTTCCTTGAGTCCAGCAGCGCGAGACATTCACTTGGACGCCCTCTTCAGGAGAACGGATCCGATCGGATAAGACTCAATTCCATTTGATATCGAATAAAGATCGCTGGGTCCCCGGAACCCCTGCGAAACCTCAAATAAGGCAGAGGACTCCAGGGGTGTTAAGGCAGGTATTTTACAAAGAGGCACACCACGCGAGACATCGTCCGGAGAAGCATCATTTCAAAATCTGTCCTCGGCGGTTTAATTCATGATAATAAGTTATATCCTGGGGCTATCCCCAGCGCGAGTCCCCCCTCGGCGGAGCCCCGAAAGCTCTTGGATGAAAGATCGAAAACCCGCTTCAGTCGGCGTAGCTCTTCGAGTTGAGGTCCTTGAGGTCCCGCGTCAGGACTACCAAGGAATTCCACACAATCGGAACCCGGAAATGCACCGCTCTGAGCATCGGTGAGCTGGAACCGCAACTCTTCGGAAAACCGAGGCGATGAGTGAGCTCGAGAAGCGGACGCATTCCCATTCGAATTCCACGGGAACATTCTACGCCTCGGCCTTATGCTTCTCGAACCTCATGCCGATCATCGAGGCCACAGAAGTCCCCGCATGGAGCCTCAGGGCGTGTCCTGGAAAAGCTCCGCTGTAGCTCGCTCGAGGCGTATCCGACCCGATCACGATGGAGGAATGAATCAATCAATAGCAGCGCCGTGAATGAGGGTGTTGACAAAGGTAGACTTCGATAGCCCGATAGACTCATTGAGAGATCGATCAACTAGAGTTCGGGTCGCAATGCGAGAAACAGCTAGGTAGGAATGACGCCGTTGGAGACCGGCTATCAATACGAGAATAGACTCAATACGTGTCATTTCGGAATGTCACGTCTTCAGGACGATATCATCCACGTTCCGCGTTCTTCGGGCACTACCCTCGCCAAGCATCGGCTGTTCACGCGGAGATTCCGTCGCGAGTGACATCCCCGATACGAGGTCCGAACGAGAACTATCGCAGCTTTGGATAATTTGTTTGAGAATGTCCCCGTCGAACAATGAAATCAGTAGCTCTCAGTTCCGTTACCGTCAGCCGGCCGGTGCTGTCAGAGGGTCGTAAGATAACCATGAAGAACTTCACGGACCTGGAAAAAAAACTATCTCTCCTGGTTTTCTTGAATCTCGTACTCCTCGGCCGACCTCCGTGGCTCGCTTGGAGACATCGGAATTTCGGAGTGTGGCTACTGGCTTGCGCTTACGCGACTGCTTTCGGTATTTGTCTTCTTTCCGGTGCGATGAAAATATGGTTGCAGTATCAGCTGTGTCGTTCCAACGTCATCCACGTAATCACCATGAGTCATGACATCTACAATGTGTTTTGCATCAGTTTCTTCGTTATGCATTCTTACGCGAGACATCCCGACCTATGCTTGGAATTCTGCAAGAACTTCCGCCTTAGGACGATCGGAACTTTCGCGCGTAGTGTCGTGATCTTCGTCCCTGCTATATCGGTTCTCCTACTGAATACGTATTGGCAAGCCATCGCCTTCTCGACATTTCTCGACTCACTGCGGTCTATTATTTACCATACCTTTTCGATACTAGTTTGGAATGGTCTATGGATCTACGTCTGTGTCCGAATCTACAAAGTTTACGAGGGCCTCGGCGAGCTCGACGTCGAAACCAAACTGTCTTCAGTGGAAGCGCTCGACCGAGAGCTCGGACTGTACTTATTGCTCCTGTTCGCGAAATCGGTCTTCGACGCGATATCGTCCCTGAGTTTCTATTCGACACAAAAATCGCGACTACCGGAACTCCTGCTTCTGCATGAGGCCGCTGTGATCATGTATGATCTTCTGTTCTGCGCCGCGATCTCAGAACTGTCGACTCGACTCTCTCGTGACTTGAGGAGCGATTTTCTGCAAAGAGCGCCAATCATGACTAAGGTGGGCATACTCCGGCAGCCGAAATTGCCAAACTTCTATCACTCGCTGTTCTCTTCACGCCTGAATGCATCGAAATGGTGGCCCCCGACACTAGTACGTCAAGCTTCTCAGGTGTAATAAGACACTGCGAATTGATATTTAGGATCGCTGACATCGCTTCAGCTCCCCGTCCTAGAGCCCGTCGAATAGCAGTGCTGCTTGGTCCACTGCCCACGAGCGATCGTCATCTCTCTGAAATCCAAAAGCGGCGGCGCCAGTGGGATCGGTTTAGGTCTCCACATATTTTTTGTTCCTTATAGACGATGCCTCTGGCGCCGGACCTGCTCAGACCGCATAGAACACGAGAGTAACAGGGAGTCTGTGTTCATGACGAACAACCTACTCCCAGGAAGCTCTCGGGTTTCGAACGTACACCCGCTTTACGCTTTCATGTGATCTTCCACGGAAAACTGAATTCTATCCTCATATCCGCAGGTTTCGAACTCCTTGCCATGGAGCCGGTCGTTGCAAGCTTCTCTCCTGCCTCAAGGTCTCGACGCCTTCGGAGTTTTTACAGTCAATCGGTTGGTACATCGTTCTCATGAATTATCATGACTGTCGCTGTATATCGTTCACTCTCACTCGGGAATGGGGGCGAACATACCTACTAGGGCGCAGGAGGAGCATCGCCATCGGAAGGTCGATCGTGCCATATTTCATTGACCCTTCTGATCGTCCTTTTTCAGATCCTTCTTCGCCACGATGTGCGGAACGACCCTTACATTTCTGCTCATCTTGGTTCAACTATCCCCCGATGTTCAGAATGTCGTTCGGATAAATAAGATGGAATCACATTGAAGCACAAGCCAGGCAGAATCTTCCCCAGGGAAAAGCGACCGTGATGATGTGACGGAATTCCTGGGGGACTCGATATGCTCAATGAAAAGTATCAAGCTTTCGAAGTCTTGTCTGAAGGTCGGAGGAAGCTGAGCATGTTCGGATGGATAGCTGAACGCCTAGAGGGAAAACGGCTGACTCAATCGAGAATGGCGACTCGTCAGTCGAACGCAATCGCGATGCGAATGAGTCCCCGTTAGGCGCCCAATTGGGACGAAAACTCCAGTATCCCACCCATCCGCCAGATACCGGAGTGGTGTAGAATCGGTCGTAATGTTTTCTTTGTAGCCGCACCACACACTCAACAACAACAACAACAGGAATCGCGCAGAGTATTCTCCCGAACACATCGTCGCCGATCAGAGAAAGGATTCGAAAGTGGTGCTGAGCTCCCTTCCAGGCTCAAGCATGCTGTCAGCTCTTTACACCTCACTGCGACGGGTGAGTAAAAGAGTCTCCATCATCGAAAATACTCCCGCGTTTCCCCCATCCAGCGAGCCGCGGACATTCAGGACTTTCGAGTTCTTTTTTCTCGGTTCGAAAGTCTCGTCCGTTCTCCGGGTGGATAAGTTCTTAGGACTGTTTGCAGCTTCCGTCTTCGCAAGCGGGCTTGCGTCTGCTGACCTCAACGACCGCGGCCGCAGCCGAGCCCAGCACTGCTCCGGACGAAAATGCCGGCACCGAACCCAAGGTCGACAAATTGTATAGGCGACTCGTTCTCGAGGTGAGTAGTTCAGGCCCGATACTGTTTGACCTGGCATGGTCTTATGAACAGGGGTGGCGAACGCCGCCGCGAACGTGAAATTCGATTCCTCTCTTCAGGCTCGCGGACACGATCCAGCAGTTCTCAAGAGCTACAAGTTCTTCGTTCTGGAGACGGCCAGATATTTGGACGTTCCCGTTTTCAAGACATGGGAGCCGCCCAAAGTTCATCAGCGACGCACCCTGTTGAGATCCAATTTCGCCAAGAAGAAGTATCTCGAAACTTATGAAGCGAGGACGTATTTCCAGGTACAGTCAGCTGTCCGAGAGGAAGCCTACTAAAAGCGGGTCCACAATCACTCTCAGCGCACCAACTGTGATTTTTGTTTTACAGATCATGGAGTTTGAGAGACTGACGGGATCGACCGCGGATACCTTTTTAGAGTATGTCGAAAGGAATCTGCCTGAAGGAGTGGCGATGAAAGTAAGCTCTCTTGTTCAGAAGAATCACTTACCTATTTCGGATCCAAATATTCAATCAAGTTGCTCTCGGCAGTGAGACGGTATCGCAGATTTAATGAGTAGTCTCGGCGAGCATCGATCTCAGCCGGCTCTGCTTCCCCAGGTCACAAAAGAAGAAATTAGACCTCTACCTGAATATCTTCAGCATCAGCCGAGGCAGGAAGAATCCTAGGTGGAGCATTCAGGCATTGCGGCGGAAAACGTATTTTTCAGTGATCAGAGAGCACTTGATAAACAGATGATATACTCCTCTCTAATCCCGTGTCTTCTTTCAAAGTATAGAGAAAATTGGTTCTATGATATCCCGAGATGTCACCGCGAGCATGTTTGACGAGCATCTATCTTTCCAAAATTCGCATATCAGCAGTAGTATTACGGACTTTATTTATATAACGCTGATATCTACATGAGCCTGGCGCCCTCGTCTCTCGCATGCTGAACTCTTAGCTGCTCGCGGAATATTGTCGAAAATATACTATCGACTCCCGAAGGATATCTCTACGGGATCGCTTGCGCCATGTGCAATGGTGACAGCATTCTGTCGAAGACCGCGTCTTTGAGATTCGCCCCTCTCAAATTGGCTTCGTGTAGATCACTTCCAGAAAGGTCGCAGTTCTGCAAGGGAAGACTCTCAGCCTATCAAGGGAGAATACTTTCAACCGCCACAAGCCTCGGTCGAGTCGAGACGCTGTGTTCATCCTGGGCTCGTAGCCCCTCAGTGTGATGTCGTCGAAACAGGCTCAGATGCATCATCAATAATTTATTGCCGGATAATCGAGGGCTTATCGATTAAGGCAAAAGAATACTCACTTCGAGATCCGCACCAGCAAGGTTTGCTTGTCGGAGGTAGCAGTTCTGCATGTTGGCATGCTTCAAAGTTGCGACCCTCAAGTTTACCCCGGCCATTTGACTACCTTCGAAGACGGCGTTTTTCAGATTGGCGGACTCCAGACTAACGGAAAATTCCGCTCCTGATTCCATATCACAGGAATGTAGGTTGCATTTCTCCATGTTGGCGCAAACCATTCGGGCTCCTTTGAGAACAGCGCCCTGTCGGATAAATAAGTTACTTTTTCCGCTGAGAAATATCAGGATCGATTGCGGACTCGCCAGAATTTTCCCTCCCTCTGGTCAGAGAAAAAACCGCAGGAATAAATTCGTCGGCGGGATGGAAGGTGCGATCCTCGAAATTCCGTCACTCACCTCGAGATCAGCAAGAGACATATCCGCCCTCTCAAAGTTGCAGAAGCTCAGGTTGCTGTACTTCAGACGGCAGCCCCGTAGATTTGAATATTTGAAATTGATGTTCCTCAAATCCATTCGCGAGAGATCGGCTCCTTCCAAATTGATGCCCTAGAAAACATCACGGGAAACTTAGTCAGGGCTCTGGCTTCCTCCATAGGAAACCAACTGGATTTCGAATGGAAGACCCGACTCAACCCCGGAATCGAAGGACTTGAGTGAGGTAGCGCTGGACATTTATTGAACTCGATCCCAAATGAATTTTGCCGTCGCAGCGTCTTGGACTGCGATCCCAAGAGACTTGAAAACCGTTACGCCTTCTCTCAAGTTTTTATACGATTCAAGAGCGTTTCTCTTTAGCAGGCTCCCGATCTCGTCGACCGCAACGCCACTGAGTATAACGTCCCCGCTCTCGCTCAGAGCACTTTCCCGAGAATCGACGACAACAACTTCAGCTGTCTTCATAATTTCAGCTTCTAGCTCTCGATGAGTCTTATGCGGAGCGCCGACACAGTTTATGTGGCATCTTTTCGGCAGCCAATCCGCTTTGAGAATCGGTTCCACGGCATTGGTGGCGGTCACAATGACTTCGAGCGCAGCATCCTCCGGATTTTCGCAGAATTCCGCGTTGATCCCCATCTGCGTGAGCTCTTCGACCAATGTCATGGCGCTCTCTTTCCGATGGTTCCAGATCTTGACAATGTCGATATCGAAGCACTGAGCGAACATGATGACGTGTCTGCGCGCTTGAGCTCCACTCCCGAAAACACCCAGTCGGGAGAACGTCGGGGCCATGAGTCGGGTGGCAACTAACGACATCGCGCTCGTTCTACAGAGAGAATTACATCTTCAGAATTTTTCTCGCGTCGAACCATCGTTCCCAAGATACAAGCGAGACGAGAGAACCGATTGAGCCCCACGTCAGTTTACCTGAAATCGGTCACCGCGTTGACATCAAGAAGAGCAGCGGCTGTACCGTTTTCGAAATGTACGACGGTACCCCCATGACGTCCCGGTGAGTAGTTCAGGATTTTGACCGCTAGAGCCCCAGTCGACGGCAAGAAGCCCGGCATACAAATGAGCCCTAATTCGAATGTACACATCAGACTTTTGAGAGATTCCAGTGAGCCGCAATTTCATGGAAGCTCCTCCTTCGACCGAGTTCGCATTCTACCTTCTCCGTCGCCTGTCTTTATCCATGATCGGAGCGGATTCTGGGCGTTTCCACGAGAGTATTCGACAAAAGTATTCTCCACGCACTCGAGGTATTTCTCCATGTTGGTTTGGAGTACATCTTCAATTTCTGAAGCTCCGATGAAACGTAGAGCACTCATCGTTGATGATTTTCAAAGTTTCTCGTTTCGTCGAGGCGAAGCAGCCTGCCGTCGCTGATGAACAATTGCTGGCAGAGAGTGGGATACTACACTCTCTCAATCGCGATAATCATGAGATTCCGCGAGGCTCATCGTTCGTAGCTCTTTGCTCGCCTGGATTCGAGCGACGTTTTCGAAGGAAAAGCGCTGGCTGCTACCCAGATTGAGAAGCCCAGACCCATTCCCTCGAGTGGAGTCGATCTCGATCGAGCGATTCGTGGCGATCAATGAGGACGAATCGAGGCTGTCCGTCGATGATCGTAGAGCCACCGGCGGAGGCTCTTCGAAACCCTTTCCCAATTTTCGTAGCGGAATACCTCGGATCCGACGTTCAATACCATGCAGATGCTGAAAACTGCGAATATTAGGAGAGAGGAAATATCTGCTCTGGAGAACCGAAACTCACTTGGAAACGGAGCTCTTTGTCAGCTGATGTCCCGGCGAGTAAGGATACAACGTCCCGGCGAGTCAAGGGGGAATCATCCTGGGGCTCTTTGGCGATTCGGTCCTCTAGTTGATTGACAAGAGATTGTATGCCGTAGAACTTCGCCTGTCGAGAGAATACCGATATTTTAAACATGAATGGAACTCCACTGGAATATGAAAGCATGCGCCATGATAAATGAGAACAAACCTCTTCGAGAACACCCTCTAATTCCAGATCGTTCTCCATGATCAGTTGACCATGCCGGAGATAATTCAGGATGGGCTCGAAATACCGGGGTGATCTGGGAGTAGATGTGGGTTCACTTCGAGCATCCCGACTGATACCGCAGAGAGATATGTGAATCAGAACTGATCGCTCACCGGTCGATCAGGAAGGCTCCTTTCTTGTCCACAGCCGCCGGCCAGAAAAAAACATCGGAGGAAAACATCCGAGCCAGCATCGACAGTGGCTCTTTCGAGACCAATGTCCTTCTGGGAATTGAGAAAAGTCTGTACACTTCGTGGGCTCGCCTCTGGAATCTCGCAAATGGTTCGCTGAGTCCAGAACTCCCTGATTCGTCTCTTCCTGCTTACCTCGTTGTGGCGAAGCGCTTTCCTCCGACGTTGAGCAGGATCCATTCGGTGTTGTTATCAACAACCTGTCGAACTTGATTTGGTTCTGCAGGCGGCATGTCTGTTTAGTGGAAACGCAGCCTAGATACGGCGGAAGAGAAAACGAAGGCAACTCACCAATGAAATTGGGACCCGTGGAACAATATAATACATCGTCATCGCGGATGAGGTCTACTGAATCGAAGCATCCTGAGAAAGGTTGAGAGTAGCTTTTGTACAGGGTATATCTTGAGAGGAGTTCGCGTATGCCTCATTTATCATCGAGTCTGGACTCAGATCCATTTAGCGAGCCTACCCCCACTTTTGTTGAAAATGTGATTCACCGGCAGTCCCAAAACTTCCAAAGCCAGCTGTTTCAGCTCATCTATTGTGTCCGGACACATCACGACTTTGCCACCAAGAGTCGACCCGTTGGTGAAGAGCGTGACTCGTTTGAAATCCATCGAGCACGAACGCTTGACTGAAAATAATCAATACCTCATTCAGAAAAATTACGCGCGAGTCGGAGTCGTCGCCATGGATCTCGAAGAATTGGCAATCATTCTGAGAATAGCACATCAGATGAAAATAGCAAAGTACGAAATATCGACGATCCATGCACAACAGGAGGCAGGCCATCGTATTGAGGACGCTGAAGGTCCGAAAAAGGAATTCCATCATTTACGAATTTCGATTGATGAGCAACCTAGCCGAATGGCAAGAGTTCGATCAGCCTGTCAACTCCATTGGATATCCCTTGCGGGCGACTCACAGCTGTTCGGCGCAGAATTAGGGAAGAAAAGTTCGCGACAAGACGATTACAAGCTCTAAGATGATGATCAGACCTGACAAGGGAAGTCGGAGAGATTACTCGGAGGACGATCGGACCCGAGACTGGATGTATATGTTCATGATCGAGAACTCAGCTAGAGAAAGTTTTCGCTCCGAGGAGTGTGTATTCACCGTGTTCAGTGCACTAGCGCACGCTGTTGTCGTCTGTCGGAACCTCCGACTTTTAGAAAGCGCGGCATCCGCGCATTAAGCAGCCATTTTGACTTTGCCGGAGTGCCCTGTGTTTTTCAGGATAAACTTCGGTGATTCTGTCCGAATCCGAGCTCGCTCGCGCCCCTCATGGCGTCTCTGCTCCCAAAGTTCGCTCCGTTGAAGCGGATCCCCAGCCGGGCTTACAGCGCCCAGGTGGCTGTTTCCCAGAAGAGGTAACCTTTCGTCCTGTAAATCGTTCAGGAATGACATGAAACTACTGATCTAGCGCTCTATCCGAACCAGACTTTCGGCTGAATCTTGGTCGATTCTATCAATCCTAAGGGGGGGGGGGAGGAGGGAGCTCTGATGGTGTCCTCGTTCAGCTTTGAGGGTCTTAAATCCCCGTCATTCATGAGAAACTCCTATGTGAACCTCTCCTGTCTGATTGTGACCTCGAAGCTGCAATATTGAGGTTCCCATTCCCTCCGTCAATGGTCCGGACGAGCTATGCGCGGGGAGCGCACAGAGAATCCCGTCATCATGGGCGAATGCTTCGGATTGTCTATCTGTCCACCTGTCAGCATAATTCCATTTCCGGAGAATTCCTCGATGTTCCTATCTAGACTGAAAATTGAGTTTCTCCACAGGCTCCCTTCGGAGGAAACGAGACTCACGACTCTCGATAATGGACTATCCCTGTACTCCGTCGAGAACCAGAGCCCTGTCAGCCGAGTCGTGATCGTCACGAAGGCCGGTTCTCGTTACGAGACGGGCCCTGAGCTCGGTGCATCTCATCTTGTACGTTGTATGGCCGGACTGAGGACGAAGAACTCCACAAGCTTCGGAATCACGAGGAACGTGGAATGGGTTGGCGGCAACATTTCCGCGGCGGCGACAAGAGACCACCTAATTTACACTCTCGAATGCAACAGAGATTATGTTGCCTCAACAATCAACTTCCTCAATGATGTTGTCTTCGCACCCACCTTCAAGCACTGGCAGATCGATGACATCATGCCGAAACTCAACCGGGAGTTAGCTGTTTTCCAGCAAAATCAGGGAGCTTTGCTCATGGAGGCCCTCCACCAGGCCAGTTTCCGCGGCGGTGAGTGAAGTTCACGTTTTCAAAGATATTCCCGGGCTCAAACGCTGTCGGTCGTGTGCACCAGACGATCCTTCCTAGAAAATTCGCTCAGAAAATGTAACCACGGAGCGTCCACTCTCTTTTTCCGCAGGTCTCGCCAACTCGTTGTTCGTTCACCCCTCCATGATCGGCAAGCTCAAGTCCGACATCCTGACCAACTTCCACAAAGACAACGTCACCGGACCGCGCACGGTGGTGTCTGCTGTGGGAGTGGACCACGAGCGTCTCGTCCACATCTACAAGAAGTGCGAACACATTGGACGCTCGTCCACCGATGATGGAAAACCGTCGAGGTTCAACCCCCATGGAGGAGAGGTTCGCGTTGATTTTGCGGCCCCGAACACTATGGTTGCACTAGCAATGGAATCCAGCGGACTCGCTAAACCCCAGGACGCCCTCACCATGGAAGTTTTGAAGCACGTGTTGGGCATGTCAAAGGCACGAGTTCCTTTCTCGGAGCTCGGAGCCACCAGGTTGGGCAAAGCTGTCCTCGCCACTAAGCCCGCGAACCCGTTCTCCATCGGAGCCTTCACGGCAAACTACAGCGACACCGGACTCTTCGGCATCGCTCTGGCCGCGAACAACAACGACATCGCCGTAGTCTCAAAGGCTGCCATCGGTGCGGTTCGGGATCTCGGCAAAGGGAACATTTCCGCGTCTGAGCTCGAGGCCGCGAAGAATAAGGCCAAGTATGCCATCGCTAAGCGCGTTTCGAAAAACACCAAAACCGCGAGGAACACCGCCATCCAGCACCTGACGCAGGGTGGCCCTCAAAGCTATGAAAAATCTATTTCAATGATCGACGCCATCACGAGCGCGGATATTGCTAACGTCACCCAGAAGATGTCGCGCGTCAAGCCTTCAATGGCAGCCGTCGGCAAAACCTACAACGTTCCCCATCTGGATGAGCTTTTGCAATAGGAGCTAGTTCGCGGGACGGAGTAGTGAAACTGTGGTACGTTTTAAGCGAAGTGAGGCGTATAAATGCGGAGAATCATGTCGAAGCATAAAATAAATAGACGTTTCAATGTTGATGGCAATATTCTGACTTCTTCCGTGGGATATGTACCTCGTGCTTTCACCTCAGATGCTCTCTGTAGGAGACTCAACGGTTCCCTAGAAATGCGTGACGTACCTTTCTCTATCGATCTAGTCTAGCCGGCTGGGATGCAAATTCCGAGCTCCGTATGGAAGCGGATCGTCCAGTTATCGGAATGACGAATAATCATGGAGCAAGCGTTATGACTGGATTTCACGGAAATGACAACGATCATGGAACAATTCTGTGATCAGCGCTCCGATCCGCGAGCCCCCGCCTTTATTCTCTTTCGATTATGGAACAGGAAATCAGCGATATCGACTAGTCCCTCCACTTCACCTCAACTTCGTCCGTTCGGAATCTCTGCGTGATGGAACTGTTCTCAATTCCAGTGAACATCCCCGCCTCGAACATACGACATCCAGCTTGTGCGATCATGGCACCATTATCGATGCAGAACCTTAGAGAAGAGTAAACGAATAGAGGAAGCGAGATGTTTTCTACTCGGAAAGTCCGATGGCAAGACCTTGATTCGAGAAGTTGTAGAAACCATACCTCATATCCGTTGCGAAAAGCTTCGCGCCCCGCTCCTCAGCCATTATACCCATCATCTCTTGAAGTCGTTTATTGCACCCAACCTGTAAATGGAACGTGATGAGACGACCTCCGTGAGTCCACAGCCGATTCACCCCTGCCGCAAGTTCATTCATGTTCCTTTCGTCTCCGGCGATTGTCCTTACCCCTCCGACGATGAGAACTTCCTGACTCCCTGTGTGCGCCATCGCCCTCTCCGTCGTCTCAATCAACATCGAGAACATTGTTTCCTGCAGCGACATGCACAGATCTCCGGCTGTGTAACCTTCTTTCAGAAGTTTATCCGTTCTCTCTTCGAGGAAACTCAATAAGCCCGAGAAGGAGACATCCATGCCCTTCACAACGTAGGGCAAGGGAACAAACTTTTTGCCTGAAATGATATCACAACTTGTGGTTCCGATCCGAAACAACCTCCATTCGTCGAAAATCAGCTCCGGTCTGCATGCGCACTCATACGGGTCGCAAACAGAGGAAGCGGTCTCCTGACACTAACCGTTTTTAGCCATCTGCTCGATATTATAACCTGGACTCGGGTCATTGCTGAGCTTCAGGACTCGCGCAAAACGATCCAAACAATTCCCGATGGCTATGTCGATTGTTTCTCCGAAGATCCGGTATCTCCGCGCAGCGTACGCTATAACTTGGGTGTTCCCACCGCTGACGTATAAGACGGTGGGGTTGTCTGCACCAGTGATCAGTCTTCCCATTTCGATATGACCCACGCAGTGGTTCACTCCGATAAGAGGTTTATTCCACAGCTGAGCGACTGTTCGTGCTACCACGGCGACTGAAACCTTAATGAACGATCTTTGAGGAGTCGAAATCATTCCGCCCACCCGAGATGGGAACTAGTTCCGATAATGATGGAGCGAGTCACCGAGACCTCATTTCTCGATTCTCTGCGGAGAGCTGATGATAATTTTTGGCACTTACCAATGGTGCGCCCATGCCGGGACCCTGAGTGAATGAAACCGCATCTATTTCCGATGGTGAGATTTTCGCCTCGTCCAAACATTTCCTCAACACCTGGAAAATATGAGTTCAGTTCACAAGGAGCTGAACAGCAACGCGCGCAGTCGGCGAATTCAGATGTCATTAGGACCAGACTCGGTCGCACGGGGTTCTCGTCTATCCTGTACCTCTATAATGTGTTCGCGGTGGTGTTTCGCGGTCGGGCCGGGCTTGAATCCTTCCCCCGGTGGTGTAACATAGGTAACACGGGGGTTGGCCAGAACTTCTCCATCTCTCACGATACCAACACCGAGTTTATTCGCCGAGCCTTCGAATCCGATCACGCATACCATTTCGAGGTATGACAGCGAGCTATTCTTCAATAGAGAAACATGCAGGCTGTCTTGTATCCATGGAATGCGCTCGAGCAACTCCGAAACCTCAGTCTAGTTGCGCAAGCGTGACCTTAGAGCTCAGTGAAAGTATTGAATCGAGCGCGACTTGCCAATGTTCCAGCCGAGTGTTTGTAAATATGGCCTCTCTCCGATACTACAGTCGTCAGCAACTGCTGCACAGTCGTCTGCTTGCGCTCATTTCATAGAGACAGGGGCCCGCGCACCCCTGCGGATCACCGCGAAAGTCGGGGAGCGTACGTGAAGCGTAGACATATATCCTTGGCATCGCCGTGGTCATCGACGAGTTCGGGCAAACCTTTCTGAGCGATGTCACTCCAGGTTTACGATCGAAGCTCGGAGGCTATATACCGGGAGAAAACTCGAGCCTCCACCTCGGCGGAGCTTTTAGATCCCCCGTATCTAAACACACATGCGACACAGATCGAGATCGATGATACACGTCGTAAGCGTGAGCCGTATGGGAGTCGATCGCATGTTTCTTCTCATGCAAGTCGCGGCCATAATCAGTCAGTAGCGGATAAGCCCCGAACGTTTCGGGAACGACCCCGACGTAAGTTTTTGGTCTTTTCTCCAATCGCATGGTGCAAGACTCGTCGGACTGAGTCGACGATCGTGAAGAGGCGATAATTTTGAACGGAAGGTCCGGAAATCGGAATAATCTTTCAATGAGGGATATCCCATAGCGTGATGGCCGATAATGGTGGAGAAGAGATGAATGGACTCACTTATGCTCACTCATGACCAACACGAAATGGATTCCGTGGCGGACGAAAGCCAGCTTGACTCCACCGATCAGAGCATCGAAAGAGTGAATATGGACACAGCAACACCAACATATCGATGTAGCCTATATCGTGGATCGTCCCTGATATGGGTCTGACCGCAGAACCCTTGAATAAAGAGCGTGTGAGGGTGAAATTATGCAGAAAGCGCTACTTCGGAGCATTTGGGTTCTTCAATGAATCACTATACTTGTGGGGCGTAATTTCCAAGCGAGGAAAGGCAAAGACTGTTCCTCATCGCATGCAAAAAGACTTGAGGCCTACTACGGGGGAAGCCGCGAGCGTGAATGTTAGGTAGGTCTGCTCATTTGAATCAGACCGCTACAAGCAGACGGTCTATCAAGCCTGCCAAATAAACATGACAGCGAAACCAGTCGTGGTTTACCGCCGGTCTCGAACACACCTCCGATCGATTGCTTCATCCAAATTCCGAGTAGTATAACAACTGGCGACGAAGATAAGATCTCAAACCCACTCGAAGGAAAGTACATCGTGTCTCGGCAGACCTGGTAGTGACCCGCCTCGATTTTTCACGTGAAATCTAAAGTCAAGCGATGGCTTCGACCAACAACGTGCCTACATTCGACGGATTCGATGTTTCAACGGAGCAATTTTCCTCATGGGCTGAAAGACTGGAAAATCATCTCAGCCTACACGACGTGTCAAACGAGGAAAAGAGAAAGAACGCAGTCATATCGTGGATGGGAGCTGATGCCTACCGGAAACTCATGGACAGAGTGCAACCCGAGAGGAAGCCAAAAGATCTCAGTTTCGTGGAAATCGTTGAAGTTCTCCGAAAGGTCTACGAACCATTGAAAAACAAATGGTCTTCTCGCAGCGCATTCAGGAAGGTCCGTCAGTCGGCAGGTGAATCCCTAAGCACTTTCGAAAATCGGCTTCGTCACGCCGCAGTCGATTGTCATTTCTCAGCGGACCAACTCCAGGAGAGATTGATAGAACAATTCACTGAAGGTCTTGAAGACAAGCAAATCATGCAGAAAATTCTCATGAAAGAAGGAGATTTCACCAAGTTGGCAGAAGTTTCCCTGCTAGCTAACACGTTCCTGTCGATCAGGAAAGCAACGAGCGCAATCCACGACAATGGATCTGCGCAACAAGACGTGAATAAAATCTCGACTCGTGGATTCCGGAAGAAAACGTATCAAAAACCCCTGAGAAAGAACTCTGAATACCCTGCAAGCTCAAATCAACCGGGGTGCTACAGATGCGGAGACAAAGGTCATTCGGCGAAAACTTGCCGATACCAAGGTGTGAAGTGCGCTGGGTGCGGACTAGTCGGTCACCTGAAAAAAGCGTGCCGACGGACCACTCTCTCGAATCAAAACTATCTCGAGGAGGTCCCATTTCGCTATGTCAACTCGAAGGACCCAATTCGAGTTGAAGTGGATATTGAGCAACACGCACTTCAAATGGAGATCGACACAGGGAGTGGGATTTCCACGATGCCCCTTAAGACATTCAGAAGAATCGCTCCCCAACATGAACTTCACGAGAATAATATTCAACTACGAAGCGCGACTGGAGAAATATTCCAACCGCATTCCTTTGCCAACGTCAGCGTCGTCTACGGAGACCAGGAAAAATCACTACGACTATATCTCATGGAGAATGACAAATTCCCTGAGTTGATAGGTCGCGACTGGCTCCGTGAACTCCCATTGCATTGGTCTAAACTGCTGACAGGCGAAAATAAGGTACATCATCTGAACGCTTCAAATCAAAATAGCAGCTACGGAGCCTCAGATACAGAGGACTTCAAAAGCAAAGCCCGGAAATTACTCGAGAAGTACGAGAATCTCACGAAACCAGGCATAGGATGTATCCCGAATAGCGAGGCGAGACTGGAACTGACATCGGAGGATCCAGCGCCATATACCTCAGGTGCTCATCAACCGGCTGAAGCCTTGATCGAAAAAACCAACAAGGAGCTCGACTTCCTAGAAGAATACGGAGTAATCACCAAAGTGAACACAAGCGAATGGAGCCATCCGATGTGTGTCGTTCCCAGAGCGAAAGGCAAGAAGGTCAGGATCTGTGGGAACTTCAAAGCAGGAATAAATCGTCACATAAAGATAGACTCCCATCCTCTCAAGAACATCAGACATGCGCTCGATAACATTGGGAATGGCAAAACTTTCTCCAAGCTTGACGTATTCTCTGCGTTCCTCCACCTGCCTGTTCGTGAAAAGGATCGGAAGTACTTGATTGTGAACACTCACAGAGGCTTATACCAGTTCAACAGAATGGCGAACGGCCTGTCCAATGCCCCAGCGATCTGGCAGAGGTTCATCGAGGGTGTTCTCGCAGACATTCCAGGTTGCGAGTGCGTAATGGACGACATTCTGGTTACTGGAGCCACGAACGAGGAGCATCTACGGAGGCTTGACACAGTGTTCTCTCGTCTCAACGAGCACGACATTCGCCTGAATTCAGAAAAATGTGTCTTCTTCGAAGAATCGGTGACATACTGCGGGTTCCTCATCAAAAATCAAGAAATACATAAATGCGACGATAAAGTCAAAGCGATCCGCGAAGCGCCGTCACCCAAGAACGCATCCGACTTGCGATCATTCCTCGGCATCATTCAATTCTACTCAGGATTCGCAGCACGTTTAGCTGATTTGGCACACCCTTTGTACTCGTTGCTGAAATCAAACGCTAAATTCCTGTGGGATTCGAGTATGGAGAAATCATTCCAAGCCGTAAAGGAAGAACTTTGCTCGCCGAGGGTGTTGGTACCCTTCGATCCGAAGCGACCACTGTTACTCGCCACCGATGCTTCACCGTTCGGAATTTCAGCTGTCTTGTCCCACCGCTATCCGGATAAATCAGAGCGCCCGATCGCGTATTATTCCCGGGTTCTAACAGACACCGAGAAAAAATACAGCCAGATTGACAAAGAAGCGCTCGGAATCAAGACGGGCGTCGAAAGATTTTTCTATTACCTGTTCGGGCGACGATTCGAGTTGATAACCGACTCCAGACCACTCGTGCAGATATTCCATCCTTCAAGAAACCTGCCTCCGCTGTCAGCAACCCGTATGCAACATTATTCGATCTACCTATTGGCCTTCAACTTCGACATCGTGTACAGAAAATCAGAGAAGCATGGGAATGCAGACGCATTGTCCCGACTGCCAGCAAGAAGTGAACGACTACAGGAGATGGACGCTTCGGATTGTTTCATCGTAAACCTAATCTCCGAAACCCCGTTACGTTTCGAAGAAATAGTGCAGGAAACGAAAAGTGATCCAGAATTGAAACCACTCTTGAAGTTCTTCAGAGAGCCAAGGAGTTGCAAGGATGCCCGAGATTCTTTGGCTTAGACGCGTGCGAGTTCAGTCTCCATCAGGACTCAGCATTACTCAGAGGCCATCGTATCGTCATACCGAAAACTGCCGAGAGCAGGTGCTCACGGAGTTGCATGAGGGACACGTACGGAGAACGCAAAATGACGGAACTCGCCCGTCGCTTCGTCTGGTGGCCAAATATATCCCATGACATAAAGGCGCTGTCCCGATCGTGTCCCGCCTGCTTGGCATGTGCTCGAAATCCACCAAAAGAAGTCATACATAGCTGGAAACCGTGCAAATTTCCCTTCGAGAGAATTCATCTGGATTATGCCGGCCCGATCCAAGGGAAATACATCTTACTAATTGTGGACGCGTTCAGCAAGTGGTTAGAAGCATTCATAACCAACGACAAAACGTCAAGTACGACTCTCAAACATCTCAAGGATACGATTGCTCGTTTTGGGATCCCATCCGTAATCGTAACGGATAATGACCCAACCTTCGTATCCGAACAGATGAAGAGATTCTGCGCCACAAACGGAATTCGGAAAATGACGTCACCGCCATTTCACCCCGCATCAAACGGCCAAGTGGAACGCTACGTGGACACCATGAAAACAGCTCTCAAGAAATTTTCGCTCGAAAAACAGGATCTGGCCGATAGTTTAGCTAGATTTCTGTTTAGACAGCGAATGGTTTCAAGCTCCTCAGGAGAAAGCCCCGCTTCAATCATGCTCGGTCGAGAACTGCGCTCGAGACTTGACCTCTTGCGCGAACCATCGTTGCCTAAACCGAAGGACGAGACAGAATCGAAATTCGCCATCGGCGAACCAGTCAGCGTTAGAGACTACAGGTCTCGCCAACAGAAATGGACCTCGGGTCGAGTGAAGAAGAACTGCGGCTCTAGAATCTGCGAAGTGTCGGTCCCAAGCGGTACATGGAGAAGACACTACGAGCAGATTCGAAAACGCACCGACAAAAACTCAGACACAAGTCATGAACTCGACTGCTTGATCGACTGTGAAATTAACATCCCGAAAGAAACCACAGGTCCCGAAGTTCCAGAAATCGAAGGAACACCATCAGAATCTCATGCAAGCAGAGACCAGCAAGCAACAAACCAAGAGGAACAACATCCTTCGGAAGAGTCAAACGACGACTCCCCGGTGGGGGAAGAGGAACCACTAACAAACGAGAGTGCCCCCCAGAAGAACCAACAGAAGACTACCGTCAGAGAATCTTCGAGACGAAACAAAGGAGTACCTCCGAAACGCTACGGAGACGAAGACGAAAGTAATTGTGGAAGCATGTAAATAATGTTATAATATAATTGGAAATTGTGATATTCATCGACACCAATTTCAAATGAGGGGAAACTGTTAGGTAGGTCTGCTCATTTGAATCAGACCGCTACAAGCAGACGGTCTATCAAGCCTGCCAAATAAACATGACAGCGAAACCAGTCGTGGTTTACCGCCGGTCTCGAACACACCTCCGATCGATTGCTTCATCCAAATTCCGAGTAGTATAACAGTGAAAGAATCCCGAAGGCGGCGGAGTCGGCGCGTCCATGAGCAGCTTCCTTGGTTTATGAATATCAGCAGTCGCCGCACTCTTCAACATCGAGGTTCTCCATGAACCTCGCTTCGGTCTTCGAGCCTTGCACTTGCATCGTATAGAAGTATGGAGTTCGGAGGCTTGGAACCTTCGTACTCTATACCAGAGGTCCCCAAACTGGGTTCCGCGGAACCCTTGGGGTTCCGTCGCTCTTTTCCGGGGGTTCCGTGAAAAAATCTCTGCGGAACCCCAGTGTTCCGTGGGCTGCTCTTTGCGCAACTCGGGGTTCCGCGACGAGGTTTTGCTTCCATATGTACGGTCATATACGGGCCCTAGGTGTCGTAGCCCTGTGGGGAACTTCAGTTTTTGTATTCCAAATGTCTTCCTCAATTCCCAAGGGCATCGTTCTAATTGACGCATCGATCGGCATCGAATGCACACTGCGAAGGTCGTTGCACAAGGAACGTTCCCACTGGATGAACATTCCTACTTTACGCAAGAATTGACTTAAGCAATAAACATTCGGGTCCGATCCGGAACAAACGCGTGTTTTCTCCTCTAATAGCTGAAAGGAAAGAGCAATTGACAGGACTTTGAATTTTTTGAAAAATGACGAAGGGTTGCACGGGACACTAGGGGTTCCACGGAACATTAGGGGTTCCGCGGAAGAAAAAGTTCGGGAACCACTGCTCTATACAAACCCTCAGACCCCTTCGGATGAGGCCGGTTCGCTGCAAATATGGTGCCGAGTCTCTGTCGCCCAACGAGTTGTCTCCACTCGTCTTGTGCTGCTAAGGAATATAATCCTTCTCTCAGATTCCAATATTCGGATGTAAAATTCAGCAACCTTTCTGATACAACCTGCAGGACTAACTTTGGAATGGACGGGAGACCTGACAGGCAGTGATGGATGCGTCAATCTCCGAAACGGCCCGAAATCGGAACAAAGCCCTGTTGTGTGTTCAATGGGCACTATCCAATCGAAATTTTCGACTGTAACGGTGAGCAGAAGGAAGCTCCGAGGTTACGGAAGGACGAAGACTCCCCATGCGCAGTCCACAACCATTCTGAAGGTAATCTTGCTGCGAAAGGGCTTTCGGTGTTAGGTATTCGTCCGCTGAAAAGACATGTTCTGATTCCACAATGAGATTTTGTTCTACTCCGATCGCAAACATTTCTGAACTATACGTCGCTCAACTCTCGCGCTTCTCGTTCTACGGATTAAAACTTAAAGAGTATTGAGATTCATCAAGCTTGCGGTCGGCATCTATGGAAGCTGTCCATATTGTATTTTTCAATTCATCCGCTAATCTGTCCGCTGACGACTTCTAGTTGATCGTCCAGGCACATAGCGGCGAAGGGTGCATTGTATAATCTGTCGGCTTAACTCACTCAACATGATGAAAGCGAACCCTTTGGATGAGCCCTCTCGCTGTCCTGGCAATCGGTCGCGCAGCCTACGGCGGTGTACCATCGGCAGCGCCCGCTGGTTTCCGCTTGATACGGATTTGATTCTCGTGGTTAAAAGGCATGTCCGACAGTGAGCCGACAGAGGAGACCGCCCTCCTTCAGGATACTGACACAACCTACCGACTTTATTCGGTAAGACCTGACTTGAGCTACCTGTTCGCTGCAGAATTTGCTCCCGTTGCTCGTCTTCCTTCCATTCCCTTCGCGTCATTTCGGTAAATTCGGCGAACGTACTCTGGAGGCGCGATAGAAGAAGTTTTCGAAGAAAATTTTACGGTTCCGTAGATCGACTGAATCGAATTCTTTTCGCAGGGGTCCACGATGGAAGGTCCTCCGATCGTGATTTCGGAGGTGAGAGATTCGCAGGAGTCTATTGAACGCGAGGCGAAACACATCGTAGAAGCATGCCTTCTGTGAGTACACTAGCCTTAAATCTCCTCTGTTCTCATAAACCCCGAACAGGATATACACGGCCGTGATGTTGACCGGAAGTGCATCCGTCGAGCAACACGTTCGTAGCGCCGACGACGATAGAAGTATCGCGGACCGTGTACCACGATTCAAGATCTTCGAAGAACATGTGGAGAAGAATATTCGTAGTCTCATCTTAATGAGCTTGAACTCTCCCAGTCGGGATCATTCTGCGATACACTGTTCCTGTTTTGAATCGAGGATAGTTCGTGGAGCGAGCGAATTGAGCTGATCATATCTTCTCTACTACAGAGCGGCCCGGAGTCGGGAGCATACAACCACTAGCTCACAATTTACGGTGAGACCGTACTTCGGTCTTGGAAATCTCGTGAATGCGAACAATGTGAACGCCTTAGTGGATGCCATCATCAACCAGTTCCTGAGTCGCGAAGAAATACAGAAATTGATCAACCCTCTGCGGATCGATAAAGTTATACCCCTCGACGACAAAGGCAATCATGTCAGTGATGTAAGTAATGACGCCAGCGGTAGATCTTCTTATGCCGAAGTTTGCGATGACAGAAGAGACTCGTCCTCTTGTCGCATTTCCATCATGGCTGTCTGAGACGGTAAAAATCGGTGGATTCTCGCCGCCGGAGTCTGATCTCGGATCGACGTATGTCTCACGTGCTGGCGAGTATTGTGGCCAGCCGAGCTCCGGAGAACGTGAAGAGACATCGACGCATCTGATCCATTGGAAGTCGTTCCTGCAAGGCTCATAAATGCGATCTATTTATCCTGTCTTGTGTGACTGAGATCCCCAGGCGATTCCGAATACTTCTTTCCAGATTTTGGTCGAAGGCCTGCTCTCCTTCGGCAGGACTGGTGATGCCATCCTTTCAGTCCTCGAAGATGGATCTATCTCGATCGAGGCGGCCATGGGTGTCACACGTCCTCTAGTCAGCTTGAACTACGCCTACAACGCAGGATTATGCTTCAACTTCAAGGGCGAAGTGGGCGCCTTCCTTGAGAAAATCTCAATTTTTTTGAGAATTGATGTAAGTATTCGCCTCCGGGCTCATTGTCAGCGAATTTTCCGAATGAGGGCTCCCACACGACGAGTTGCGCTACTTCCTACTCATCGCTTCTAGGTCGTAGGTTTCCAGCCTTCCTTGGGCGAATTCGACGTCGAACTCGACGATCCTCAAGTACAGAGATTCACGGGTGCCTCATGCGCTTTTAACTGGCTCGCAAAATTCATCGCCAACAAGGTCTGGTGTCTGATCACGAGTGGCCCAGGGGAGCTGAGGTCTCATAGCAGCAGGGTCAGGAACTCACCGCTGCTCATTCCAGATCATCGGCAGCCGGAAAGAAGAAATACGGCAGCAGATAGTCACCCAGGGTCGGGAACAGCTCGGAGAACTGCTAGGCAAAGTTGACATATTCGGCTTGATAAGCGGAAGGATCCCAGTCGGATAACTTCATCGCTGACGGTAGTGAATGCTTCAAATCCCCATTATCGGCCCATGAGGGTCCCGTGCCCCGGTCTCCTCTCCAAGTTCCACGCGTGCTCCCGGAGGCTCGGTTATTGGCTCGTATCCCCAACAGTTGTTGTGAATTTTCGGTTGTCGCCGGCCGATTCTCTTTCCTTTCTGCTCGATTCTGTCCCCGAAGTCTCAGAACATGGTCGCGACAAATCCTCACACCCAGACGATAGCGGGGCGATCATTTCCACTCCATCTCCGTACTGTGTTCCGATATGTGGACTGTCGTCTTAGTCATCATCTCTCCCGCTACGTACTGTTCTCGACGATGGCATCCAAGCTGTTCAAAGGCGCAGTCACGGGGATAAGGGGCATTCGGGGGTTCAAACCTGCATAGTGGTTACGGCTTTGTTTGCTCCCCACGTTGAGGAATCACGCGGAGTTCAAGCCGCCGCCCCTTTATTTTGTCGGCCGAAAAGGATACCTTGACCGCTCTCTCGTGGAGAATCTTGGCTACGCCTCTAGATTTTGCCGCTCTCCGCGTAGTCAACCTCGATCTCCCTATGCACTCTTCGTCGCACCTTCAGAATCATTCCCAAGTATATCTATTGTCTTGCGTCCCAGGTCCGTCATGACCCCTTCCACCCTGCGTCACGTTATTCTGACCGACTCGTTGGGTGATACTCGGCGCCTCCTGATTGTGACCCCTAGGTTCTTCTCGAATTCTCCAGGTCAAACCCTTGAATGGCTCTTGTTCAGAACGATCTCCGTATGAAGATTTGGATAAGATGTCCGCGAGATATCACGCACCACGGCACACCAGAGACTCTGTCGGCGCAATCTGGGATCGTTTTCGGGATGGAGGAGCCTGCTGGACTCGCTCACGTGTCTTCGCAAGCTGCGAAGCTGGAATCGTACCTGGAGCGATTCGTAAGAATTCCAAGCAAAGCCGAGAAACATAAAATCGCTGTGTCTTTCCTCATAGTTTTCCACTCGAAAAAAACCACGATCCATTGCTAGACTAGAATAGCTCTCTCTGAGTGAGATGCACTCGAGTGAGCGCCCGCAGCAGTTAGACACGTCGAGTACTAGGATAGCTGCCATCCGAATTTTTCCTGGATGAAGAACCGAAGTCGGAGATTGGATCTGACGATCTTCGAATATTTGCAACTCGGAGGCAAGGGCCTCCTTGCGATATCAAGCTAAGATAGCAGATCTCACAGAACCTGACGATGGTGCTGATGAAATCGTATGACAATGGAGGTTTCGGGAAATCTCGCGCTCCGCAACCTGTTCCCCTCCTAGTTCCCCAGCTCATTCGATGTCTCGATGTGATTTTTCGAGGAGATCAAGAAAGACTCACTCTCCCCTCACCGGCACCGCAGACTTCCGATCAGCGTATGGGTCCATTCTTGGAAAACGACATGTTCATCGGCTGGTTGGCTGGCAGAAACGTCTGCCGAAACGATCAAGGAACGCCGAGTATCGAGCCCTTTCAGCGGTCATTTCCACTCCCGCTACTTGAGCGAGAGTTCGCTCAGAGCTCAACGGATGTTCTCTTGGGGCTCAGGGTGCCGCCCCTACATCGTCGGCTGAGAGTACGAAAATTTCGGACCTTCCAGACTCACGGTCTGTTGATCAAAGCCACCGCCGATTTCACACCGTTCCCTTCCGAAGAGCCGTGAGAATATTTGCCGTAAGCTCTCGAACCTTCGCAAACTTCCCGAAGGTGAACGCTCGCTCACTCGGTATCAATCATTCCCTCCCGGATTTCTTTCGGTCATGAGCTTACGTCCGCCGAGAGTCAAACAGGGTTCTGTATCTCTGATGGCGAGCTAATGACTCGTCACATGAATCCCAGGTCATGATTCATGATCGGATTGACTTCTTTATAATCGTCGGAATAGATGCGAGGAAATTCAAGCGAAATAACCCGCAGGTGGATGAGCTAGCCGCAGATACTAAAATATTCGCACCCGCTTTGGCACCCATCAGATAATTGTTGCCAGCTGCTGTGAATTATGCGCGCATCATCCGATGTCGGCGTGATGTTCGCTCGCTTATTCGCTGCTTGCTTGCCTGCCTGCCTGCCTGCCTGCCTGCCAGGTTTCGCACTCGAGCTTTCTCCGGCCCGCCGAAACCCGCAATGAGCCGCCACAGCAGCGTCATCATCAACTCGATGACTGCGTGTAAGAGAGTTTGCTCGAAGATGCAAAAAGGGGCTCATCGCTATCAGCTATGCAGCGATTACCAGCCATGCACCCACCTTTTCGGTGGGAGCATGCAGCAAAAGTGGCGCAGCGGCAGCGGATCCCGCCTCGTTTGCCTCTGTGAACATAACTAGAGCGTAACAGCAACATAAAGGCGCCGGGCATGATGAGGAAATATGCGCTGCGGGGAGGAGTAGGGCACGCGTGGAGGGGTCTGCGAAATGATGCCGCCTAGCGCTGCCTCGTTAGCAGCAACGCTGAATTTGCTGCGAGGGGCGCTGCGGCGACGCCTCTCGGAGCGACTTTACAACCGAGCGAGGTTTCGGAACCTCAATGGAAACCACCGACAGAAATCGCTTGCAGATATGCTCCCTCCGAGGATTCGAACAGGTCAACCCCCCGAGGTCCCCATGGCGTCTAACGTGCGGGCTACCGATACGCCTCGGCCGATCTGCGATTATTGCGAATCGAGTCACGCGAAACAAAGCGATCGAAGTCCGAGCAGGGCGTTCGATTCTCCTCAGCTGTTGGCTCCGATAATTGCTACTATTTATACCAATTGCGAAAGCGCTGATTACGCTTGCGGGTGCAGCCGACAAAGCAGAGGAGTCAGTGCTGCTCTCGGTGGACCCCGGCTCCTGTATTGGAGCGCTCAATTGATCTCCGTTTCTTTTCTTCCGGGCAAATAAGACGCACTAATCCGACTGCTGTTAAAAAGCCACTTTCTCTTTGAGGACGCGCATCTACTTTCAATGGCGAGACATCAAAGGCTAGCTATTAGCGGCTTCCTTGTCTGTTCATCCCAGCGAGCGCGGTTCCAGGGCTCGGCTCTCGCGAGTGCTACTTCCTGAAAATTCGGCAAGTATCGTTTCCTGCATACGACGAATTACACCGGAGAGACTGCGGACAATAAACGTTCAACGAAACACGCCGATGTGCTGAATAGTATTCTTTGTTCGAGTCTACACCCGGTGAGAGTTTCCAGTGTCTCTGCCGCCACACTCTCCCTCAGCAGTGACATTGTGCTTGTTGTTCAGCACGCGTTGTGTTGAGGCGAATAATTGAGATGTCGTCAGCTTTTCGAGTCGGCGTGGGTCATTAGGTAAGCAACATATGTATTGTGGCACTTTCTAAAGCCATCTGACACTTTCCGGACCGCTCGAATCGCCGGGGCCTTGGTCGGCAGCACGAATCGGACGATAAAGGGCATTGCAGCCTTCATCTGTTCCCTGGTGGACGCAAGTCGGGTATTCTTTGATTGCATCCCAGCACCGTCCGAGAGTGAATCGGGACCGCGATAATCGCAGACAGAGTAATGGTGACTTCGATGTCTGGGCCCAGATCTGAGCTTGCTCACTCAGTCTCGTTTCGCCGCGCAACCGGAACAGAGGTTCCTATTGTCCCAATGTCTAAGTTCCATTTTTCTCCGACTTCCAGAGCTGGAATGAAAGAGTCCTCTAATTCTCGTTTCCGTCGGGATCGGCGTATGTGAGCTTCCGATCCCAGGCAAGAGGGTTCGATGAAATTTAAATCACCCTCGATGCAAGACCCGGATACCGCACGAGGAGGCCGCAGTCTAACAGATTTAGATAGTGATCAAACATTAAATGAGCTTCTTGAAGAACCGCTAACTTCAGAAGCAGGAGGAGATCTTTCCAGCGGATCATTGAAGCAATCTGAACATCTTTATCGATACCGAGTAGCAGCGCTTGAAGCGCATTCTTCTCTGACGATGCTGAGCTGATTTTTCAAGGAAGTCTGGCTAGGACGGACAGTGGAAACTCACTTATGTCCTATCGAGGATCTTCTACAGGAACTCCTCATTTCACTCGCTCGAACTCGAGAATCGAATGTGTTTCGTGGCAGGGGACTTATTTTCTTCTAGCGAGCTCGTCAAGGATGCTTTTCCGGGAAGCTGAGCTAAACTCCTGAGTCTGTGTGTTCGCTAGTCTCGAGACGCGCGGATCGGGGAATTTTCCTCTGACCGCGACCTCCACTCATCATAATAATCATCTGGCTGAGCAGCTGAAAAACTCGCGGTATGCGCGGCGAGCGCTTTCAGGCTCGACACCTAATATACGCGAACTTGCGCGCTCCACCAATTGCAAGGCTCTGGACGTCTGCCTTGAAGAGGTCTCGGTTACCGCAAGGGCTTTCGTATTTGGCACTTCCACCTGGTGAGCGCAACGATGATCGCAGCTCCATAGGGAGCCGAGGTGGGGTGCCGCCGAAGCGGTGAGAGTCGGGTAGGAGAGATTGGGTGGTTCGGTAAGATGATCACGATCATCATTTATTCATCGGCCCATGACTCCACCGGTGGGCACACCCCTCTGTCCCCGAAGCGATCAAATGAATTGGGCTCCGTCGACGGTTGACTGGGAGGGAGTCATTGAGTCTTCTCGGCTCTCTATAAGGATCTCAGCCTGTGGGCGCTGGATGTTCCTCCTTCAATACTCTCCTGACATACCAGCCGATCAGGCGGGCTGCTTTCTCGACTAAATGACTGCTTCAGAGGCGGCTTCGACGACTAATTGACACCGCGCTCCGGATCAAAAGCAACAGGATCCGCTCATGCCGTTCTCCGAGGCTTTTGAAATTCTTCGTCTTCTTCTTCTTCAGGACCATGAATGTCTTGAAGGAAGAGAGAGGTGGCTCTTCGGGCAATAATTGGGCGGAGCAAATTTCTTCATGGCTGATTCGGCCAGAGAATCGGCCAGACATCTTTTAGTGAAATCGCAGACCGGCTCCGCAATCCCTTGCTCATGGATATAGTGCGAAGCGTTTGTTAAAATATTTAGCAGGGGCTCATGACGACAGTGATCAAGTCCGATTCGACTTCAATAAAACCGTGTTTGGAATTCTCGCAGTCGTTTGAGCGAGCTCCGCACGGATACTTGTCAACCGTTGGAGCGAGCTGTCGGTTGGCCTCGGAGAGGGAGATGCGCCCGATGTCGATATTCACTGCCGGAGCCGGAGGTTTACCGCAAGGTGCTTATTCCCTGTGAAGTAAGCGATGGACGCAGCGGACGGACGGACCGACCTTCAGTCGGTTCCACAACATCTTGCTCGCCGACAGAGAGGTTGCAGACTCGCCAGAGAGGCAGGCAGGCAGGAAAGCGAGCGAGCGAGCCGACAAGTAAGCAGAGTCGTAGCGTATAAATCCTCGTTAGTGGTTCCTCCGGGAAGGAGTCTATTGGCCTCGTTGCCAACCGGTTTGTCAATAATGCATTCATGACATCATCCTGGCGCTGGCCGAGCGTTGATTGAACGCATTGCCCCCGACGAAACTGGGACGAGAATTATTCATCTTGCCGCTGGATTCTGCCTGCTGCTGCCGCTGCCGGTGGTGCCGCCGCCGTTTGGCATCGGCTGCTGTTGCTGGTGGCGGCGGTGGGGCTGCAAACTCTTCTCATTGCAGCTGTTGTACCAATCGCCACCGAGCCAGCCTGCCTGTCAGCCAGCCAGCGAGCAGACAGCGAGCCAGCCGGGACGGAAGATCAACCAACCGACCGAGCGAGCAAGCTAGCGGGTCTAAAGTGAGTAAAAGCTTCCCGTGGCTTGTTCGTCCATGTCTTCTTGAAAAAGTTTAAATTGTCGCCTCTCCTCTGAAGGGTCGACCGGGGGCACGGTGCGAAGGAGGGGAGGCTACGAAGACCAGGGGCTGATGGAGACAATAGCTGGCGAGCGCGCGGGCGGGTACAGACTCCGGCACGAAGACTCCTCCTCCCCCTGTTTGCCCGTTCGTTCCGAACGCGAT